TGGTTAATTAAGAATTGGCCTCTCTTAGGCTTAGCTACATAAATCCTGAAAAATTGTCTAAAATTCTTTCCGGGATTTTCTAAGCAAAACTCTAAAATTCTTTTAGGAATGTCTGCAATTCTCCAAAAACTAATGTGCAGGGGACAAAGAACGCGCCTTCACAACACAAGGGTTCTTGAACACAAGGTTTAATAATCGAGAGTTGCACACTCAGTATATTTTCTTAACAACACAACAGGATCGGAATTGGAGTCTCATCTTTGGCTAACAAGCTTCACCTCGCAAGTAAAAACCTACAAAACAAACACTTAAGAGTGATTGTCAGTAAAAATCAAAGAAATCGTGGCCACGGTCAAAAACTCGATTTCGCTCATACTTTGTCAGTTTGAAGGCTTAGGTAAGTAACTGAAGGATATGAGGTTAGTTTTTTGAAATATTCCATACAACGGCAGAAAACCACGAAAAACGGTCACCCTACCGGAAGCTCGGATTTCACCTGGCGGAAACTCGAAATTTTACACTTTTCAGCTTCTCGCTACACAGACGTTTACATAGCTGTGAATCTTTCTTAAGTATAATTGAATACATTGATTCTTCCTTAGTCAAACCATGAGAATTATTTTTATCTCTGCTTATTTGTGAGCGAGCTGAGACCCGATTAAGAAGACACACTTTTCTCATTTACGCGAAGGTGTAAAATAATCCAAACTCAGCGACGAAAAAAGCTGACCGGTAGTTCTTCAAATCTTCTGATATTATAACCAAAGACAGTTCAGTCATTGATTTTTAGGTCTACGGTCTTAAATCTTTAGGATCTAGTAGCACTTTTGCATGAACGCCGATCAAAATTCGATAAAATTCCAATTGAGCGCCTTTGAAATCTACAACTCTAGATAACAATGCACTATTGAATAAATTAACTCCTCGGCCAAAGTTTGTACATAAAACATGAGGGTTTTACTTTCTTAGCGGTTTGAACCTTTTAAAAATATATATTGATGTTAAATATTGTCTACACAGGTAAAAAAAACTATGAAACACCAAAATTACCACGAGCTGAAATTAAATCTCACAGGCCCGCTCCCTAATCTGTGTCACGCACGAGCGACTTCCCTACAATTAGTAGAGTAACAAACAGATATTTATATCTGTTAATTTACAATAAGTCTTATTTTAAAATATCTTGCTCAACGATGTGCCAGGTTCCCCAGTTAACTTGCTGAAGTAAAAATAAAAGAAAATATCATAATAGCAATTCAAACTGAAACGATAAGAATTGATTTTATTAAGAATGATAAGCTTTATGCCGTCGATAGCCAATCAGAAGTACCTGTTCTCACGAAAATTGCATCGTTCTTTAAATAAATAAATCGAATTATCTTTATCTGTGAAACATTGCATCTAAAACCAGAGTTTATTGTCGGGGAACTTCATAGAAAAGCGATGTCTTGCTCGTTCTTGAATATTGTTGGTGGGATTTGCGGCGCAGACGAACGCACAAGTTCTTCAACTTCCGTCACGCCTTTCACGCGGTGTAACAGGGATATCAAAAACCACAAAAAGTCGTTGAAATTTTCCGGAATTGAAACGGAGGTAGAATTAATTTTGGCGAGATGTGGATGTTTTCAAAAGCCGGCGAATTTATCGGATATGACTATCTGTCCGGTTCATCGTGCCAAGTTAGATTTAGGTTGGCGAAGGACGGGTAATCTTTGCACCATCCCGGAAGTTGTTTCTGGTCACTGCAAGGAGCTGAGGAAGGCACCCGCACTGGAAAAAGGAATGAATTTATTCCAATCCATGAAGATATTTGAGCTTTCAAAACAGCTCGTCCCTATGGGCTCAGGTGAGCAACCAACTACTTGATGTTCTACCAAACAGAAACTGTCTCCAATGAATTATTTTTAGTCTATTCATTCTGATGACTTGAGATTATATGAAAGAATCATTTGTTTAAACGACGGAGAGAAATAAGTAATGTTGATGAAGGACATTTCGTTACTTATCTCTTCATTCAGTTGTCCAATCCAATTTTTTTATAACAACCTTTATTTCATGCCTCTCATTTTTTTATGGATTGCGTTTATATTAGTGTGTGCACTGTATAGTGCCCTACCCACTTTGTCGCCAGGTATGTGAGTGAGTGAGTGAGTGAGTGCCGGTGTCCGTAAACAAACAGGTCCGCAGCGCGTGCACAGCACTACCCACATGTATAAAATGAGTTCCTATTTTTTATCAGTATCTCTCAGTTCGTACGCGGGGTGTGATTGGTCAATTTTGCGCGGCCCACTAAACTTTAACTAGTTTCCATTCCCGCGCGCCCGATTGACCTCAGAGACATAATGAATATCTTACTAACCTCGTTTCACGGTCTGTAACTTACAGTACGCACCTGGAATTCGGTTAGGGGTTAATTTACTTTGTTTAAAACATTTCAATTTCGTTTCGCAAAAAGCCACTTGGGAAAGATATAAATAATAAACAAAAAAAAAGGATAGTCTAGTCACAATGCTACTCCCCCCCCCTTCTTCTCACCTCTTATCGCGCAGTCAACTTTCGATTGTTATTTTATTCTGTGGGTCGACAAAACTTCAGACTTTTGTGTTTAAAAAATACGCGCCTTTCGGTAATTTCGGAGTTTTGACGGGAGTTTGACTATGTTTTTTCTAAAGGAATCTGCGTAAAATGCAGAAAGATGCTTAGTGTGTATAAGGAAAGAGCACCTGAGAAATGCCAGATGACCGCTGAAGTTTCAGAGATCGCCGAAACCTTGAACAAGTTAAACCTGGTGAGTATATGCACATGCTTTATTATATAATATGAAATACCGGTGGCAAGACACTTTCCCAGTTATATCGCTTATCAGAGACCTTATAGTCTTTCTGTCATGTCAGCCCATCTCTAAACGTTTCTTCAGGCCACCAATAAGCATTCATCCTTTCACTTCGCAAAGTCATACAAACTCACAATCCAAAATCATTATGACGTCGTTTACGTCTTGATCTATTCCCCACACTTTAAAGTATATTTAAGGTCTTTTTTTAATTTTTATTTTATTTGCGGGGGGGGAGGGGGGGGGGGGGGGGGTGGGAGGCAGGCGAGGGGGCAGGAGAGAGGAGGATGTAGATTGGATGGGTGGCCAACCCTCTCCATTGTGTATCTGCAGAAGTAAGAAAATTAATTTGTACATCAAAACCTAAATACGTTATATTACACCATTTGAAATCTAAAAAAGCATGTGTCGAGGACTGTTAAATTACTTGTCCTTTGATATGTGTCCATGGCATCCGAAATTAGACAGCTCTTAATTAGAATTTCGTTAATTTAAAGTTTAACTGGAAAACTTGGTAATCCAGAGTCGGAAGCAGGGTTCGTGAATGATATAAGGAAGTCATAGGTGTTTTAACACTAACTTTACTAAAAATGTCGAACTGGCCCACGAATCGTGGGCGAATCTTTTGTTCATTGTATATAGAAAATATTTTAACTTTTTTCGCACTACAGGTCGATCATGAAGCTGACACTGATATTTCCTTCCTGTACCGATCACTGATACTGAATGCAAAGAAGGTAGTTCTAAACGAGAGAGCCTTTACGTGCCAGACGAAGATTCGCAAGAAAGCGAAGATGACATAAACTATGTGCAAGGTGAATCCCTGAAACAGCTCAATCGCTTTCTACAGCTTCGTGACACCAGCCCAGTCCGCCACGTACTATCAGTACCATGGAATGTAGCTCAAAGCCGTACTAAACGCCGTTATTTGAGAAAAGCTGAACAGTGTGCTTCAGCAGTAATGGAAGTCCTTGCTCCTGAAGATTCGAATTGCTTGTGGAGGGAATTATGTGAGCGCGAAGTGAATCGAAGAACAACTGGCGGGAAAAGCTGTAAGGAAGTGGAGCTTCTTCAAGCGTTTGCCGAGAGTTATTTGAACGCTCAACACTGGAGTACCCGTCGGCAAATACTCTCAATCCTGGCTGACAAGTTGTCTTTCAAAGAGGTGCAAGAATTTATCCCAACCCTGACAAGTTACCGCTTTGACATAGCGCGACACCACACCCTGCTTCATGGAAGAGCAGAACCGATTCCTCGCCAAGAAAACAGGAGAATGAAAGTTGACCAAGGAAAATTGGAAGATTTCATTTCATTTATCACAAGTTCACATGTGATTCAAGATGTTCCATTTGACGAAAGGCTTTTGAAGTTATCAACCGGTGAGGTTATTAAAACACCAAATGTAATCAGAATGATGATTCCGGAGCGTATTGTTCAACAGTACCAACAATATTGCAGTGAAAGAGGTTTTGAGCCCATGAGCAGGCGAACACTGCATAGAGTGGTAGATGAGTGTTCTGCGTCTGTTAGGAAGTCTTTTCAAGGACTTGATAACTTTTCATCTCAAGGAGCAGAAGCATTTGATGACCTGGACAAAGTGGTCGATAAACTGGTTGATTGTGGAAAAACAGAAGTGTGGGCCAGGGAAATGAAGCAACAGTTACGCTCATCAAAGCAATACCTGAAAAGTGACTACAAGGTATTTGATTTATTTTATTACACGGTTTGTTATGAAGTACTTCAAAAGAAAGGCGCAAAACTGACAGAAAGTTGATGCAACAACAAAGGCAAATTATTTTCCTAAAGTTCAAATCTTTGAAAATGCATAATATTGATACTTGAACTAGTTCCAGGTCCTCTCGTGCGTAACTAAGGAAGGAATTATTGTCGATAACCTGTAAGTTATATTTGTACATTTTGCAAACAAAGGGGACCGTCGGCCTTTTCAATGTAATTGTTTTATAGAAATAGTAGTTAAGATCAGGACGATATAATTACTGTATTTCCTCCGCTAAGTGCCCGGGCGCTGGATCGAGTCAGGAAGGGGCTCCTAATATAGAGGTTGGGCGCTTGTTCCAAGGGCGATTTACTTAAGAGGAGCTCGCTTATTGGAGGAAATGCGGTGATTGAAATTGTTTACGTTTTTGTTGTCTTCGGCTTGTTTCAGGTCCATGTGGTTGAGTTTTCGAGCATTGCTGATCATTGTAGGACTTACGCCTTAAGTGACTCAACAGACTCTGACTTCCAAGGCCACTGCAGTCATTCACGCAACGAAACATGTGCACAGTGCTGCCAGCTGCAAGAAGTTCTAAGCATCTTGGAGAGTGAGTGTTCAAGTGCAGTTTGTAACGAGGAGCAGAAATCGGACATGCTACACGCTGTTAAGCAGGCCAGAAATAATATCATGAGCTGGAAAGCCTACCAGTTGCGCTCCGTTCACCAAGATCAGGCCAAATGTTCTGTTCTAGCTAAAATGAAGAGCAAATGCGACGTGTTACTAGTGCAGGATTGGGTAATGAAATTTATGCCACGAAAATTTCGAGAGCCGCAATCAGACTGGTTTGCTAAGCGCGGTTTACCATGGCACATAACAGTTGCTATTAGGAAGTCGGAAGAAGGCGAGCAGTTTGAGTCTCAAACATTCGTACATGTCTTTCAGAACTGTTTACAAGACAGTGCTGTAGTGGTATCGATAATGCAGGATTGTCTTGTTTCGCTGAAGAAGGAAATGCCGGAATTAGAAAGGGCGTTTTATAAACAAGATAATGCCGGCTGTTACCACAGCGGATACACTATCGTTTCAGCAAAATTTGCAGGCGACATTGCTGGCGTGGGCGTGGAACGGAACGACTTTTCCGATCCTCAAGGTGGAAAAGGAAAATGCGACCGCCAAGCAGCGACTATTAAAGGAGACATTGGAAGATATGTAAACGAGGGCAATGATTTGACAACAGCAATTCAGCTCAAAACAGCCATAGAGTCTGGTCCAGGATCTTGCGCTAAGGCTAGTTACGTTACATTCAACCCGTCAAGCACTCGGCACGTCAAATGGGATGGTGTAAGCTTACTCAACAACTTCAAGTATGAGGAGAACAGAATACGAGCGTGGAGGGCATTTAATGTGGGTCCTGGAAAGTTGCTACCGTGGTCTCAGTTTGAAGGAGTTTTGCAGGTCCTTTTTAAATGTCGTAAAAATGACAGTGCACATTATTTATTCTTCGGTGCCCTCTTTGGAAAATTCTTAGTATTTTTCATCGAATATTGTCAAAATTAAACTTTATTTTCTCTATCAATGACAGACTGTAGTGTTGTTTGACAAGCGCAATCAATAAAACATGCAAGTCGCAAAACTCATAGTGTTTTTAATAGTCGCATTGGACAACAGAATGAAGAGGATGCAAAACTCATAGTGTTTTTAATAGTCGCATTGGACAACAGAATGAAGAGGATGCAAAACTCATTGGAGACAGTTCCTGCTTGGTAGTACATTTTTTAGTTGTTATTTACCTGAGCCCATAGGGACGAGCTATTTTGAAAGGTCAAATATCTTCATGGATTGGAAAAATATATTCCTATTCCAGTGCGGCTACTTTTCACAGCTCTTGCTTCAGTAAGTGACACAGGAGTACTCAGAAAAAAAGAAATCCGAGTGCTCTCGGCCATCAGGAGTCGAAACTATCGACATCGTGTCAGGTTATGCCTAAGTGACACGATGAGACGGTACGGCTAGTCATCTTCAATAAACTCGTTGGCTTTTAAAAACACGCAATCTTGCTAAAATCAATTCTGGTTCAAGTCCGGAGAGTTTTTTAGGACTTCGTGCGATGTTTTATATCCTTGTTACACAGCGTGAGCAGTGTGACGAAAGCTGAGTAAGGGTAGAAATTAGCCATTGGAAGTTACTTAGCAAGTGCGTTCGTCTGCGCCGCAAATCCCACCGACAATATTCAAGAACGAGCAAGACGTCGTTGTTATGTATGTCTATTAACTTCGCCAACAACATACTCTGGTTATATGGTTAAGTAGATTTGTTTATTTAGAGAACGATGCAATATTTGCTTTTCGTGGAAACAGTTACTTCAGATTGGTTTTCGACGGCACAAAACTTCTCATACTAAATAAAATAAATTCTAATTGAGCTAGAATTACTATTAAGGTTTTCTTTTTTTTTTTTTTTTGTTAACTGGGAAACCTGGCACATCTTTGAGTAAGATATTTTAAAAATACGACTTATTTAAAATCAACGGATGTAAATATCTGTTTGTTACTGTACTAATTGTAGCTAAGTCGCTCGTGCGTGACGCAGATTAGGGAGCGAGCCTGTGAGATTTAATTTCAGCTCGTGGTAATTTTGGTGTTTCATAGTTTGTTTTACCTGTGTAGACAATATTTAACATTAATATATATTTTTTAAAACGCCTCAAACCGCTAAAAAAGCAAAACCCTTATGTTTTATGTACAAACTTTGGCCGAGGAGTTAATTTATTCAATAGTGCTTTGTTATGTAGAGTTGTAGATTTCAAAGGCGCTCAATTGGAATTTTATCGAATTTTGATCGGCGTTCATGCAAAAGTGCTACTAGATCCTAAAGATTTAAAACCGTAGACCTAAAAATCAATGACTGAACTGTCTTTGGTTATAATATCAGAGGATTTGAAGAACTACCGGTCAGCTTTTTTCGTCGCTGAGTTTGGATTATTTTACACCTTCGCGTAAATGAGAAAAGTGTGTCTTCTTAATCGGGTCTCAGCTCGCTCACAAATAAGCAGAGATAAAATAATTCCCATGGTTTGACTAAGGAAGAATCAATGTATTCAATTATACTTAAGAAAGATTCACAGCTATGTAAACGTCTGTGTAGCGAGAAGCTGAAAAGTGTAAAATTTCGAGTTTCCGCCAGGTGAAATCTGAGCTTCCGGTAGGGTTACCATTTTTCGTGGTTTTCTGCCGTTATATGGAATATTTAAAAAAACTAACCTCATATCCTTCAGTTACTTACCTAGGCCTTCAAACTGACAAAGTATGAGCGCAATCGATTTTTTGACCGTGGCCACGTTTTTTGAATTTTCCTTGATTTTTACTGACATTTACTCTTAATCACTGTTGGAACGGGATTTGGAAATACACGAGCTCCCAAGACTCACCATACGATGAGAAACTCCCGGCGACTAGCGCGTTACAAAGCACATTGTTTCTTTCTCGCTACACGACGACACTGAGACGCGCTCACTAAGCATGCTGGGAGTATAAATTACAAAAATGAAATGGAACGGACTTAGGAAAACAAAATTGTTCTCTGGTTGAGGATTGGCCTTGTGGTATCGAGAGTATCAGTCTCGAATAGAGCTAAAGTAAAATGAACCACAACGCCCTGCTTGTAGTAAAAACCTTGCTTTTTTTTTAATAATCCTCTCTCTCTCTAGTCACGTGATCCAACATGATTGACGTACGACATTACATCCCTCCCTTTTTTTCGGATGAAAAGAACACAAGGTGACTAACTGTATTTTAAGTGATAAACGTCCTAAAATTTTAAACAAAACAATGTACATCGTTTTGTAATCAAAGTTCAATAATCAACATTCAAACTGAATTTAAACTGAGATCTCTTTTCCTTCAAACACTTCATATTATGTCAACGTTCTCAGAGAATCAGAAAAGTTCCTTTTCCAGCCTATTTCTCGTAGACGATTTGTACATAGTCTGAAAACCTGACAGGAGGTTTGATCTGTCGTTTCCATCGTCTCGGCAAGGCGTCAGCTTTCATTTTGGATGGACATTGTGTCTTTTCTTCATCTTTCCTTCCACCATTCTCTTGGCAGGGTGCAAGATGTTTCGGAATAACTTTGAACTGCGATGAATTCCTCGTAACAGTGTGTGAACCATCACTCGCTGTGACCATGGTGCCTTTCTGTTCCTCCACGATGAATGGTTTTGGATTGTATGGAGTGCTGAGCTTGTTTTGTTTGGGTTGTCTAATGAGTACAACTTCTCCTGGCTTAATCTCTCGTTCTTGAGCATGCGCTTTGAGGTCAGCATAAACCTTCATTTTCTGCTTTTGCAGAGCATCTCTCTGGGCGACGCTAGCGGATGGATCTTGAAGTGTATATCGCGGCAGCTTGTGTTGGGTGATTGGTGACTCTGGTAGTGTGGTCTTGAGTTTTCTGCTGTTTAAGGCTTCACTTGGAGACACATTGATGGTGGAGTGGGGTGTTGCACGATATTGCCGTAAGAACTTGTACAACTCTTGCTTCCAATTTTTGCCTTCTAGGTGAGCAATTCTGATAGACTTTTGGAGGGTCTGAACCAGTCGTTCCGCTTCTCCATTTGCTCTTGGCCAATACGGGGTTATCCTTCTATGCTTGAATCCTAAGTAGTCAGAAAAGTTCTTAAATTCATGACCATTAAACGGTGGACCATTGTCACTTTTCAGGACATCAGGAATACCTTGTCTTGAGAATATTGCATCAAGTTTAGGGATCACAACTCTTGCTGATGTTGAGGTAAGTATTTCTACTTCCGGAAAACGGCTGAATTCATCTGTTACAACCATGATGTAATCACCAGAGGGGAACGGTCCAGCAAAATCCACTGCGACTTCTCTCCAAGGTCCGCTAGGGAGTGGCGTCATTCGAAGGGGTTCAATCGGTGGTGACTTGGTCGATGCAGCTTGACATGAAAGACAGCTTTTGACCTTCTCTTCTGTTAGGTTGTCGATTCCGGGGAACCACACTTTGTCTCGGATGAGTTGCTTTGTTTTGACAATCCCCTGGTGACCACCATGTGCCAGGTCTACTGCTTTACTTCTGAGAGTAAATGGTATCACAATTCTGTTTCTTCTCAATACTAGTCCATTGAACACTGATAATTCTTCCTTGAGCTTCTTGTATTTCTGTACGTCTGGAACATTCCATTGGCCAGTTTCCACAGCCTTGACGACAGCTTGCATTTCTGCATCATTTCTGGTTTCGTGTTTTATTTCTTCGAGCGTCATTGCTCTTGGTACAGCATTAGAGCATACATAGTTGGCATAATCTTCAGCCAAATTTTGTTCTTCTGGTGCTGTGGGACACGGATGTCGGCTCATGTAATCAGCAGGGTTTTCGGCATCTCTTCCAGGCCGATAGATCAGCTGACAGTCGTAGGGCATGAGTCGAAGTTTCCACCTGTCCATTCTTGGGGAAGTTTGCTTGTGGTTCTTAAAGATGCCTATGAGAGGTTTATGATCAGTAATAACAGAAAACTGGGCACCATAAACATACAGATGAAAATGTTCCACTCCCATACTACGGCAAGCATCTCTCTCTCTTTTGGGAGTAGCGACTTTCCACATCACTCAAAGCACGGCTTGCATAACTAAAATTTTGCCTTCTTGTATTAACAGTCCACCAAGACCAGTTGGACTCGCATCGACAATGATTTCGGTCTTCTTTCTTGGATCAAAATAGGACATAACTTGATCCCCAGCGAGGGCTTCTTTCAGCTTGTCCAATGCCTTTTGTTCTTCTTGCTCCCATTTCCAAGGGGTGTCCTGTCGGGTCAGCAGGCGCAAAGGGGTCGTGATTGTGGCATAGTCTGGTATGAATCGGGAGACGTACTGTGCCATACCAAGAAAAGACTTCAGTTCACTATGGTTCCGAGGAGATTGTGCCTCGTGGATTGCTTTAACTTTCTTTGGATCAGGTCTAACACCGACAGAGCTGAAAATGTGACCATAGAACTTGATTTCAGTTTTGGAAAACGCACACTTGTCTTTGTTGAGACGGAGGTTATTTTCTTTAAGCCTCTGGAGAACACCACGGAGATTCTTGTTGTGTTCTTCCTGGTCTTTTCCAAATACTATGATGTCATCTGAGATGTTTTTACATCCTGGGAGGCCAGAAAGGAGTTCCCTGATCTTTTCCTGGAAAATTTCGGACGCTGCATTAATTCCAAAAGGCAAACGTTTGTATCTTCTTAGGCCAGCATGTGTACTGAAGGTTGTGACATAACGACTTTCAGGTGATAACTCAAGCTGGTGGTATCCTGAGGACAGATCTAATGTACTGAAAAGCGTTGCACCATTCAAATCAGCAACAAGGTCATCAATGGTTGGCATGAGATGCTTTTCCCGCTTAATTGCTTGGTTTGCCTCACGCATATCAACACAGATTCGAACTTCTC